GGTACCTTTTCAAAAGGCACACCTTTGTACCTAAACAGTCCATATTGGTACCTTAAAGGTACATATTAGTACCTAAAGTGTACATATTAGTACCTAAAAGGTACAAAAGTGTACCTTTTGAGAAGGTACTGCCCCAGTGACAGCTTTTGTACCTTTTTTTCTGAGAGTGTATCACAAAAAAAAGTGAGCTTTCAGAAATTTTATGTGTACCGAATGTTTAAACCAAATGTTCCAAACAGTACCAAAATGTTTAAAAAAAAAAAAAGCTTTAATATTCTAAATAAAAACTAATATTTCTTACCGTAGGCATAGATTTAGCATGTAGTGTTGCTATGGGAACCGCTTTCGCGCTGCTGTTGCCCTCACCAGTGACCAACTCGACAATATTGAACTCATCTTTAGCAGTGTGACCCAGACACATCTTCAAATCTTTTAATTTCACACACACACACACACACACACACGTGTGTGATTAATCTCATAATTACACCTTGCACCCCTTTTGAAAGCCCCTCATCTAGGGAGGCAAAAATGGATTTTGGAAGGCAAAATTATTTAAACCAATAGCCAAAAAGCTGTTTGCATAGTCTTGGTTTTAGTCCGTGATTGTAGATAATGCAACCTTTCTAAAATCTTGCCAATAGTTAATGCAGTAATTTAATGTTGCTGCAATAACAGCAAGTAACAGTAGATTTAAAGAAGCAGTGCTGGCATGTATCACTACTTTTCATTATCAGTTCCTGGTGAATAAAATCAATTCCTGCTCTACAGATTTTTTCATCTCATTGAATATCCTGTTTCACTTAAAAATGCATCACCTTACAGCAGCAAAAATGGGTTGCAAATGCCATTTAAAGTTGACTTGAATTGTTCCTGAAATGCTCCAAAGGTGCTGAAAAAAAAAAAAACAGCATTAGCTGCAGAATACCTGTTTCAGCACTTCCTAAGTAAACTAAGCATATTGTGGATTTGCTCGTTTGGTGGCATTTCACTGTGGAATTACAGCAACTGGCTGATAGATGGCAGGAAAATGGAGACAGTGCCGGAAAATCACAGATAATCCTTAGACCTCCTCAGATCTAATTAAGATTTTCTCAAGGAAAGGGAGGGATGGAACCCCTCTATAGAGAGTCAATAGAGTGTCAGTCACTTTGAGATTTTCTTTTCTTGGATTTTCTTCATTTCTCTAGCTTAAAGAGAAGAGTGGGGCGCTAGCAAAACACCAAGGTCATGGGTTTGGTTGCCAGGGAATGCATGAAGTGATAAAAATGTACATTGAATATACATCACTTTGGATGAGTGTCAGCAGATGCATATAAATGTTGTGATCTATAATATAAATGTTACTGGTTTTGATGCATAAAGTTCTGGCACAAAATCCAACAAATACGTGGTTGCACTGCTAAAAACGAGGAGGAGTTTCACTTTATCTGTTTTAAAATAAATGCAACAGCATCATTATATACAGCAGCTGACTTTTAACTACAGCAAACACAGTGGTTTCAGTGCTGGGCAATGAGCCATACATGTGTCGTGCCTCAGTCTGTACGGGTGAATGGCATTGCCAACACTGAGCTGTGATCTTACAGCCTTGGAAGCAGTCACTTGATGGTAGATATAAAGGTTTAGACATCCAAAATGCTCCTTCCTTTTTTATAACATCCAAACAACACTGGACCCCACTGACTTTCATTGAACTGGGAATTTTTTTTTTCTAAATATCTTATTGAAGATCATTCTTTTGTTCCACAGGAGAGAGTCCATAATTCATAATAAAGCTTTCTCCAGTGAAAAAGTCCATCCCCTGTTGTCCTCTCTCATCAAAATCCATCTGTTTAGAACTATTTTGGACTTGTTTCACTTGTAAACGGCACTTGATCTGTGCATATTTCTCTCCTGATTCAGATGAGATTTGTCAGAGAAAACAATATTAAGGATACAGGATGGTTTGAAGTTAAAAATGTCTTCATTTTTGGGTGAACTATACCTTTAAGCGAATTTCTCCTGATGAATGTTTTCATTTCTTTGCTGGAACACTCACTCAGAAGTAATTAACAAAGATTATCACAAAGCAGCTAGACCCAGCTAACAAGAATTTGACAATTATGCTTTCAGAGAAATTACTTTCTTCTCAGGCCGCTGGATTGACAAAAAAAATTGTATCAAAGCATCACATATCTCAAAGCGGGCTGGAGGTCTTTATGTGGTTTCTCTCCAGCTCTTCTCACATAGCCGGGCATATCTGTTTGAAACTGAGTTCACGGCACCTCAAACTCGAGGTCTATCTCATTTCTTAGTGCAGGCCAGTGGCCTTTTAGCCAGAAATAAGAGATGTGGGATAAATGATAACACTGTTACTGGACTATGAATTCCCTTGACCGGTAAAAAAAAAAAGCTTTAATATTCTAAATAAAAACTAATATTTCTTACCGTAGGCATAGATTTAGCATGTAGTGTTGCTATGGGAACCGCTCTCGCGCTGCTGTTGCCCTCACCGGTGACCAACTCGACGATATTAAACTCATCTTTGGCGGTGTGACCCAGACACATCTTCAAATCAAACATTAACGGGTTAAAGGTAATAAAATGTCATGTTTACCTCGACAATCACTAAACCAACCGTTCTCAGCGCCAGCTGGTGTTGATGGTTCGTGTCATCCGTCTTGAAGGACTCTTCTTTATTAGATTCATTAAGCTCACAACCTAAAACAACGATCGATTTAACTTCGTAAACGTTTTAAGTTATATTTTACTTTAAGACTCGACAGTGTAACATCTTACCCCAAAGAGTGGATAAAGGTTTCTCTGTTTTGCTCATTTTAAAACAAAAACTGAAAGGCACATACAGTAAAGCCAGTTGAATGCGCAGTATGCAATGTGAATTATTGAGAAACTCGTTTGATATTCTCACCAGAAATAAATCTCAGGACTGCTTCTAGGACAGCAAAAGAAAAGAAAGAACAAGTTTGCACCCTGTGAAGGTTTAACGAGGAAGTTAATTGCTCATCAGGTGACAGTAATTAAGTCAGGATCACTGCAGGTTAATTATGGATCCGACCTGCTGCATGAACCTGCTGAAAAATCACTTCTTTATAATCATGTTTTAATCGAATAGAATTAAGCTGACTCATAATTATGCATTCTAAATATGTTGTCTTTTATTTCAAATTAACCTCTCTTATGTATAACCTGGGCTAGTTGTCACATGGGTAAGTTTCCGCAAGGTCTTTGTCTACAAATGTTTATTTTCAATAGCAGTGGTTTAATTTACTTTATAAACCTAAATAAAGAACCAACTTATGATCACGTTCATGAAGCAAACATACAAAAAATACAATATCATCAAGTTTTCTAATAGTTATTGGGTCAGAAAGTGAAAAAAGCATACTTTAAAGAAAGCTGACTATATAATAGAGGCATGCTATGTTATAGTTTTGTAATAGTTATTTGGTCAATGAGTGAAACTTGCATACATTATGTAAAGAGTTGACTATATAGTAGAGGTATATAGAAACCCATAGGTTGAGTCTTAGGACAAGTACTTGTTTGTTTTTTTAATTACTAGTACATTTTATAAACAGATATGTTGTGCAAGATTTTCTAATCAGTGTCAAATAAATAGCAGATTTCCACTGTGATAACCATATTGGGGCACATTGTCACTTTTTTTTCAAGACTTTTGTGTCTATATATACTGTAAATCGCCTCTTAGAAATATTCACTGTTGTAAAAAGTGTGACAACGAGCCCCAGTCTCCCAAAGAGATCCATCAAATCAATTATTCTCATGAGATAAAGCTGTGCCTATGAACTCCTTTCATAATTTATGAATTTTACACTAAATAATTAATTAAACAATGTCTTTATTATAGCTGCTTTACAGCAGAATTAGACTTTATCTCATATTTGAAGAAGCCTGCATCACTGATTCTTATTTTCCTGTTTATTACTGTGAAGCACTATATAATAAAAGTGACTTGACTATTTTTTGTGTGTGTGACTCAACTCAAAATGTGTGCCAGATGTGTATTTCAGTCGTTTAACTTATATTTGCCATGGTTGTTTGTGTCTCAGATCCCCCTCAGTTCCATATGTGCTGCACACTCTCATTCCCGACTGTCGTGTGATCTATTATTAACAGATCTCCATGCACCGGATCGCTCGGCCTGTGGATTACGGAACGGAGAGAGAACATGGGCTGTGAGTTTGACCGCCGCTCCCCTGGGTTCCACCGCAAGATTTTCTAATCAGTGTCAAATAAATAGCAGATTTCCACTGTGATAACCATATTGGGGCACATTGTCACTTTTTTTTCAAGACTTTTGTGTCTATATATACTGTAAATCGCCTCTTAGAAATATTCACTGTTGTAAAAAGTGTGACAACGAGCCCCAGTCTCCCAAAGAGATCCATCAAATCAATTATTCTCATGAGATAAAGCTGTGCCTATGAACTCCTTTCATAATTTATGAATTTTACACTAAATAATTAATTAAACAATGTCTTTATTATAGCTGCTTTACAGCAGAATTAGACTTTATCTCATATTTGAAGAAGCCTGCATCACTGATTCTTATTTTCCTGTTTATTACTGTGAAGCTACTTTGAAACCATCTGTATTGTAAAAAGCACTATATAATAAAAGTGACTTGACTATTTTTTGTGTGTGTGACTCAACTCAAAATGTGTGCCAGATGTGTATTTCAGTCGTTTAACTTATATTTGCCATGGTTGTTTGTGTCTCAGATCCCCCTCAGTTCCATATGTGCTGCACACTCTCATTCCCGACTGTCGTGTGATCTATTATTAACAGATCTCCATGCACCGGATCGCTCCTGTTGTCCTCTCTCATCAAAATCCATCTGTTTAGAACTATTTTGGACTTGTTTCACTTGTAAACGGCACTTGATCTGTGCATATTTCTCTCCTGATTCAGATGAGATTTGTCAGAGAAAACAATATTAAGGATACAGGATGGTTTGAAGTTAAAAATGTCTTCATTTTTGGGTGAACTATACCTTTAAGCGAATTTCTCCTGATGAATGTTTTCATTTCTTTGCTGGAACACTCACTCAGAAGTAATTAACAAAGATTATCACAAAGCAGCTAGACCCAGCTAACAAGAATTTGACAATTATGCTTTCAGAGAAATTACTTTCTTCTCAGGCCGCTGGATTGACAAAAAAAATTGTATCAAAGCATCACATATCTCAAAGCGGGCTGGAGGTCTTTATGTGGTTTCTCTCCAGCTCTTCTCACATAGCCGGGCATATCTGTTTGAAACTGAGTTCACGGCACCTCAAACTCGAGGTCTATCTCATTTCTTAGTGCAGGCCAGTGGCCTTTTAGCCAGAAATAAGAGATGTGGGATAAATGATAACACTGTTACTGGACTATGAATTCCCTTGACCAGTGAAGTCATGCATGATGTCATATGGGCTTCACTGTGGATTGATTTGGGAAAAACATTTGGTAATGTAAGTAGAGACTAGCCTCTCTGCTGGGAGTTTTAAATTGCCTTTATGGTAAAATGAAGACTGGGGTTAGTTGTCACACCATTCTCAGAAATTAGTTTTTCATGTATGTTATAACATTTCTGATTGGTTAAAAAAGGGTGGGCTTGTGATTATTTCAGATCAAACACTATCTATCTATCTATCTATCTATCTATCAGTAACAAATTAGCATTCATTATATCCATGAATTCAGATTTTAAACTGTAGAAGCATATTCTCCCCACAGCATCAGCAACTTTTATACACACAAACCAGAGAGAGAGAGAGAGAGGGGGGTGAGTGAAGGAGAAGACACACTGCGGAGTTCAGCAGAGGAGAGATGAAGAGAGCTGGAGACAGAGACCAAACCGACATCACAGAGCTGTGAACACACAGGAGCTCATGCACACACGCTGCCTGTGAATTCAACTCCACGTCTCTGACACTAAGCTGCTCTGCTGTGGACTTCAACGGCCGCATCTGTGATTATTCTGGGCTGGACCCCCTTTGGACTGTGTCTTAACATGCTGGGAGTTCAAAGTGATGCTCTGCTGGTTGGCTTGATGGTTTGGATGGGAATCTTATGGGGAGAGATCACAACCCAAGGTAATGTTCATTACTGCACTGATTCATTCAGATGCCCTTGTGTCTTTGATGCACTGACACTGCTGTTTAACAGAAAGAGCCCTGGAAACTTTAATAACACACACCTCACTTTTAGCACGATTACGCACAGCCTATTTGATAAAGACTCGTTGCAACACAAGTATTTGAGTTTAGTCACCCTGATGTGACACGTGAGGTTTGCGAACATGATCGCATGAGACAAACATGCCTGTTTTGATCAGTTTGGCTGGTGCATGCGCTGTCAGGATTGTTTTCAATATAAAAGTGGGGCAGAAATAATGAAGAAACGTGCTTCTGTGTGGATCTGCTGCATAAAAACGCGCGTGGACACAGAGTAACGCAGAGTAACACAGAGTAACGATTCCAAATGAATGTGGTTTTATAATGGATCACATGTATAGATGTAATGCATAGGCATCGTGCTTAATGTTGTAAATCACACTCAGGACCCTTTGGACTTGTGCTTTAACTGATGAAAGTGCATGGAATGACATGAAAATGCATTGGTCTGTTGTCAGCTTGTGTGTGTGTGTGTGTGTCCATTAATAAGCATGCGTCCTTTAAGCCCCTCCCTGCCGTCAAAGACCACGAGCCACTGGATGAAAAGAAAATAGAGGAGGGGGCTGAAGACACCATGAGGACAAAGAGACTGTGATATTATGAGGTGTGGGGGTGATGAGTAAATCAATATTATATATACAAATATTATATATTAACATTAGGCAGAATTTTGAGCTGTATTTTTAATATAACTTCATAATTTTCTGTGTCTGCACACCTGTGCTCACCAGAAGAGACCAAATGACATGCGAAAAATAGAGTTGAATGCCTTGTAAATGAAATGTGAAGCCACATGGGAGCTCCACTCATGCAATCTCGGCTCCTGACGGCGTATAGGATGGTTTAGAGAGCGCGTGGGAGGGCAAAGAGCCCTGGAAACTTTAATAACACACACCTCACTTTTAGCACGATTACGCACAGCCTATTTGATAAAGACTCGTTGCAACACAAGTATTTGAGTTTAGTCACCCTGATGTGACACGTGAGGTTTGCGAACATGATCGCATGAGACAAACATGCCTGTTTTGATCAGTTTGGCTGGTGCATGCGCTGTCAGGATTGTTTTCAATACAAAAGTGGGGCAGAAATAATGAAGAAACGTGCTTCTGTGTGGATCTGCTGCATAAAAACGCGCGTGGACACAGAGTAACGCTGCGGGATTCCAAATGAATGTGGTTTTATGATGGATCACATGTATAGATGTAATGCATAGGCATCGTGCTTAATGTTGTAAATCACACTCAGGACCCTTTGGACTTGTGCTTTAACTGATGAAAGTGCATGGAATGACATGAAAATGCATTGGTCTGTTGTCAGCTTGTGTGTGTGTGTGTGTGTCCATTAATAAGCATGCGTCTTTCAATATAAAAGTGGGGCAGAAATAATGAAGAAACGTGCTTCTGTGTGGATCTGCTGCATAAAAACGCGCGTGGACACAGAGTAACGCAGAGTAACACAGAGTAACGATTCCAAATGAATGTGGTTTTATAATGGATCACATGTATAGATGTAATGCATAGGCATCGTGCTTAATGTTGTAAATCACACTCAGGACCCTTTGGACTTGTGCTTTAACTGATGAAAGTGCATGGAATGACATGAAAATGCATTGGTCTGTTGTCAGCTTGTGTGTGTGTGTGTCCATTAATAAGCATGCGTCCTTTACGGTATTACGAGTTTCTGTGCGCAAGATTGAGATAAAAAAATATATATATTTTATAAATCGTGTGCTCGCATCAGAAACAAGCGCAGTTTGATTTCAGTAAGTGTCACCTCCCCGAAGCAGGATCACTCACCCTCCCTGACCTGGTGTAATAAATGCAATGCTGTTGCATTATTCATGCAGATACGTGAACAAGAAGTCAAATGACTGTGTTGGTTCCACATGGGAGCTCCACTCACGCAATCTCGGCTCCTGACGGCGTATAGGATGGTTTAGAGAGCGCGTGGGAGGGCTCAAGTGAATCCTCGCTGTGTGTGGGCCCCGTTCTCCTCCATGAAACACTCACACACACTAAGTTAAAAAACACAAATTAACCCAATGAGCATTTGTTGGCTATTATTAATGGTGACTAAGAGCAGTTGTGGGCTGTCTAGTGCAATGAATGATACACAAACACGTGGTGCACAGTGCCAAACGCCTGTTCAGGAACGTGACAAGTGTGCTTTAAAGTCAACATGACATCAAAATTGACCAAATTTTATTTACTTTCTCAAAACACATCAAAGTTCTTATTAAGGATGAGCCATCAGTAATTTTGTTATAAATAAAAAATAAAATGCTTTTTCTTATACTTGCGCCGCCTCTGAAACAAATTTCCTTGTTAACTGATGTCTTCAATGCCATGGACCCCCAAATGTGATGATGCCATTTCAAAGGACCCCCTTCCTAATATATAACACTTTATAAAAAAAAACAAAATATATAGCTTGTGTGTGTGTGTGTCCATTAATAAGCATGCGTCCTTTACGGTATTACGAGTTTCTGTGCGCAAGATTGAGATAAAAAAATATATATATTTTATAAATCGTGTGCTCGCATCAGAAACAAGCGCAGTTTGATTTCAGTAAGTGTCACCTCCCCGAAGCAGGATCACTCACCCTCCCTGACCTGGTGTAATAAATGCAATGCTGTTGCATTATTCATGCAGATACGTGAACAAGAAGTCAAATGACTGTGTTGGTTCATCCACTGTTTTTCTTCCCCGAGCAGCTCTTTAATCACTTGCTGTTTAAATTTAGCTCAGTTCCACGCGCGTGGGCAACTCATCTTTATTCGGGACATGCGCGAGTGCATGTGGCTCCTTAACACGATTCTGTCCTCTAGTAAAAAAAATTGTTTATTTTCCGACAGTGCATGGTGTGTGATGATCTGAAATGAGAAGGAAAAGACACCTCTCTGCGTTTGGATTATTTTGTTCCAGTGTAAATTCCAGCTTCATTTGACGTTTCCAGATTCTAGGTTAAAGGAACAGCGTTTTCCTACACTATAAGCAGCTAAACAATATTGCCTGTATGTTTTTGCTTTTATAAAACAAACTGTCACGTATGCGTGTGAAACATTGCTTCAACAATAATTACTAAAATAATAGGTTAACGCATAAGTTAGAATGTCTTTAATGCTACAAACTGTTCTTTGTGTTTTATTATTAGTCGCAATTATTATATCATCAAATCCTACCAGACTATGATTGGTCAAACGTGTGTTGATAGTCGCAGACACTGAGGTGCAACTACAGCTTTATTTTATTTTTTTTTATTATTTCGCGTAATTTTAAGTTAATTTTGACTGAAGGTTTTGATATCTGAGTCTATTTTGTAATTATTCTCTCTATATTCACCGGTTTGACGCATTCAGGTTATTCGCGCACCTGTTAACGTCGTAGGCGGGCTTTATTCAGGTGACGGCGTGATCAGCCAATCACAGCGAAGCAGAGACACCCACACGTGCAGGTACATTCGTTTTACCGCTCGTATTAACGCCATGTTTAACGATGGGATTGACGACGAAAATTAACTCAAGAAATGAGACGTCTTCCTCTGAAACGTTATATATAGTTGTGGATAGTGTTACTTAAGACAAACGAGTGGCATATCTTGTAGTATTTTATTTATTTTATTTTTGGCTAGTAAAGGAAGGCCTACTAGCAAGCATAACTTAACTGTCTGCGTGAGTGTATCTTTACCAACATAAAGTGAGTGTGGTTTGCTACAAACAGTACTATTTTACATGTAGTTTATCATGTAGTTCCTGTTGGTATCATGCTAAAGATTCCAGGTTGACAAGCTTTACATGACCATTACAAGAGATAACTGCACATGCAAGAATGGTAAGCGACTACTCTCATGTTAATTCATATAATATTCATGTAATATATAATATTCGTGTAATAGCCATATTAAGTCTTGGGGATGTTAACCCATATAATAATAAGTCTTGTGGGTATATTTAGTGTTTTTCCTTCCTCTGTAGACTTAAACATTTTAATGTTGTGGTCCATTCAGTTTAGATTGACATCTCTAACCATGCATTATTCCGGTGTCTGCTCAGAATATGATGTTTAATGAAACAAAATGGCAATTTAATGGCAAAAAGCATTTGTTTTGCAACTGTACAGTTATTTAAATTCTAGATTTCCACATTAGCTTCCGAGTCAAAGTGGCTTTTGTTTCATTTACAGTAGTTGAAAATATGAGTTGAATTGCACAGAGCATAAGAGTTTATAGATGATGAGTTGAAATTGTCTAGAAATCGACAACATCTGTGATTAATTGCTTAAAACTACATTTGTACTGAACCCAGCTCTTTCCATAACTAGAAGCCAAGGGTTAGATTACAAAAGTTATCATATCCCTCGTGTTAATTTTGGATCACGTCCCGTAATAGTTGAGTTCTCATTGTGTTGGCACACTCTGTACTGTTAAAGGAAACGAGATCTTAGTTACACTCTAGCTATCTTTATTTACCGCTAGTGATATTATAGTTATAGAGCTCTTCCATGCAACAAAACACATGAAATATGGAGAGTATTTTTTATTGGTGACTCAAATAAATCTATGTATTGTGTTTTAAACAAATAATTCTTTCATGTCACTATTTGCTCTCCATCATTGTGTTTGATGTTCTTTCATTCATAGAAGAATTGTGCTGGTGGCTCTGTTCCATGCCATTACAATAAATGGGAACTAGAGCTTTCATGCTTCAAAAGCACCATAAAAGCAGTCATAGGACTCATGCTCCGCTTCCACAGAGGAAAGAGAGTCATACAGGTTTAGAATGAATAAATGAGTGCGATTTCTCATTTTTGACTGAATTATCCCTAACTCAACCACAGAACTATCGCCTGCAAAGTTTTAAGCAAATTCACAGTAGCTCTCCCAAAAATCAGATAGACAATTCTGGCGGTGCTGTGTTATTT